GAATATTTTTGTTATAGTTATTAAAATATGCTTAAAAAGTGGCTGCATTTTGACTAAAAGCAAAAGATTAATAGTCTTTAAAAACACTAAAGAAGAACACAATACCATTAAGAAGACCTGATTTAAGAGAGCCCTTACCGACAGTATTGCATTAATCAAACAAAAAATCTCCATTTTGATATTAAGTGTATTTATTAATAGTATCACAAGCGTTATTAGTAAATACATTAGTCAAAAAATCATCAAATATTTCTTAATTATGTAAACTTGTTGAACATATTTTTTCAAGGTTTTCTTTTAGTAAGTTAGGTAATTCATTTATCTAAACGGAAAGCTAATTTAGAATTCCTTGATAAGTTTAAATAGACAGAGCTTATTGTTAAGGTATTAAAAATGCCATAGCAAGGCCTTATCTAGCTCTTAATGAGTTTAATACTGCAAAATAAGAAGCACAGACAACATCTTTTTATTAATAAATAAATGAATGAAAATAATTTTAAATTATGAAAGAATTAAAAACTTACTATTAAAATTGTAAATAACAATAGAATTATCAATAAATTATTTCACAATAAAATAATTTATTATTGGATAAATTGTTGTTGAGCAAAATATTAAAATTAATGCCACTATTAATTTCTTTAAAGAGTATTTTAAAGAAGAAGTTTTACTAATATTTAATTTTTTTTCAGAGTTCGCATGATGATTTTAAAATTAACGATTAGAAACTTTATTTTCGTATTTAATAACATTTTATTTTTGATCAATTGAGTAAAATTATAGTTAATGAGTTATCTGATCAATAATGTCTTTCAATTGTAGCCTATCAAAAGTTGCAAAGAGTTCTAAAATTTATTGCTATTTCTTTTTAGAGAAGATATAACTTGGTATGACACTAATCAAAAAAAGAAGCATGATAAAGGTAATAACATATAATTAAATAAGACTTTGACTTTTAATGGATGAAAGTTAGTTTTAATAGTTATCATTCATCTGAGAAAAAACAGATTGAACTTTTTCATTTAAAGCTGGATAGTTTAACTCATTTTATTTTTTTATTATTCCTAAAGGATCATTGTTAGAAACAAAATAAAATATCCCAAAAATCTATAAGAGTATTGAATATATCATTGAAAGATTTTACTATTAGGATATAGTATTGCTTTGATATATATTTTAAATGATATAATTATTTTAAATAATATTAAAAACTTCTATATCTTTGTTAGTATTATTATAAAGTAAATTCATATGTTGTTTACTCAGCGATATCCTTGATTATTTTTATTCATTTAATAGATCCATGAAAGGTTAGTATTGACCAGCTGGCGTAGATAAAAGGTTTTATTAGTTTAGCAGAATAATATTATGCTCTGAAAGGGAATAACTAATTTGTACGTTAATCATATAAATCCAGTTAATGTATTTGAAGTTTTCTCTTTGAGAAACTAAGCTTGTAAGAAAGTTAAAAAATGCTAACAATGTCAAAGAAAGAATAGCTAAAGCTGATAATATTCCGAAAGCATTTATTATTTTAAGATATCTCATCTGACTTTTTTTGTGTATATTTTCAAAAACTAATCTTTTTAAATTAAAAAAATATTTATTTATTTATATAGAGAATTTAAGAATTTTAAATCTCCTTATAATTAAAATAAAAAAAATTAATTTTATTTATCCAAAAAAAATATTTAAATAAAAATTATTTACCGTGTTTATACACTGTTTGAGGAAGAAGACATAGATTAAATATCAATATTCTATTATTATAATTTATTTACCTCTTATTATGTTTAAAAACTTTTATTTGAATATTTTTAGTCTTTAACTCTCTTTTCATTGATTTTTTGCATTTATGTTTTTTTTTTAATGGAGATGTTACTGTTTAAATCAAACCGCGCTTACTAGATAGTGGAGCAATATCAGTTATTTATTTTTAAATCTAAGAAGTTAAATTGTCTTGTCCAGCATCCATGCTTGGCTGAACATTTTCAAGATTTACTTCAAATTAGTTAAAATTGAATTTGTCATTCTAATTTAAAATTGACTATTTCTCAGCCGATTTCTAAGTTTAAATCTTACTAAAAGATTAAAATTCTTGATTTTAGCTAATTTATGCAAAGTTTTAGAATTTTGAATTTAATTCCGCCGATTTTTCTAATTAAACATTTATTTACTACATTTAAAGTGCTACTGGACTCGCAAGCATAAATTCATAATTTTATCTTGGAGAGTTACTTGTGAATGTAGTTACTTTATTCTATTTTACTTTTTTTAATTCACTGATGTTATTCTTGAGAGCTTATCCATTTTATTTATACATAGAATTTTAGTTTATTGTTACACTATTGAGGATTTAAGTTAATGTTGATTGTTCATTTTATAAGCTTAAATTATTTGCAAATTAAAAAAAACTTCTATATTATGATGATTCATTATTTTCTTATTAATTTTAATGCATTGATGTCATATTATCTTGAATTTCTAAGTCTAAGTCTAAATTTAAATCTACTTTGCAGATTTCTTTAATTTATTATTGGTAGAATTACAACAAATTACTTTTTTCCTTTAAATTATTTTGGGGTTATATGTCTTCTATTATTAAGTAAGTACTTGATTTAATAGAGCTAAATTCTTTTAGGAATTAAAAAGATACAGTTATACTAAATATATCAGCATACTTTAAATGATTTAAGAAATATTCATCACTGAAAATAGATTTTTCTATTAAGAAATCTTAATTTGGTTGAATGAGTACAGTTTAGAATTTTATTATATTTTTTTAGTTTTTAGAAAGCTAGATCAAATAATGGATTATGGGAATCAAACTATCTATTTTGATTGTTTTCAATTACGAGGTATCTATGGTTTTAAATTATTTATAAAATAATTTATTTGCAAGTTTAATATTATTTGGATTTTCATCATCTAATAATAAATAGATAGATTCATCTTTAACAGGTTTTGCCCAAATAGCCAAACCAAAATCATCATAATCGATAATTTATGTTTGAACTTTTAGTTAAAATGGCACACAATACCCAGCCTAGTGTTTAGCTAAAAAAAGAGGCAAGTTTTAAATATCATTGTAAACTGGAGAAATTACTTCTTCTAAAAATGAATTTTATTATATTTATTCCTATTAATAATTTCTTTGAGGTAAAATTTAGATCTCAAATATAGATTTTTCTTATATTTGTTACTTATCAGAGAAACCAAGCGTTTTAATTAAAGAATCATTAACTTTTTTAATAACTCCAAAAAGACTTATCTAAAAGAGA